GATTAACAGAACATATTTGAGTGATAGTATCTTACTTTTTGTTTGACGATGTGATGACGATGAAAACGAAATTCATCACTGATCTTTGAGTAAACTCAAAATTTGTACTGATCAGGCAAGCATGTTTCACATGGTGGATATACTACAAAAATTTTGAAGATAGTTTCTTCTTGAATGAGGAAATATATACACAGAAAGATCTGTTTTTCAAATATTGTTGCCAGTTTAACTTTCAACCGATATAGGTAGTTCAACAACGTTCATGTAAATATGTGTTATTGTGTTATAATTTGGAAGATTCTCACATTCATTTTTTTATATAAAGATGGAGAAGTAGAAAGCCAAAACCTTTTTTTCCCATTTTTTTCATTTTTACAAAGTTGTACAAGTGAATAATTCTGAAATGAATTTATTGATATAACGGACTGTTTTATATTATTCAAAACAGAAGCATTTAAGTAATTTTGGAAAATCATGTTTTACAAAAATCAACATTCAATTTTCAGTATTTGATCACAAATACGTTTCCGATGGGTGCATATCGATAATTGTAAATGAAGGAAATCAATGGAAACTTAATTATTGGTAGTTTGCAATCAGCAACAAATTTATTACCAGAATCCCTCATGGAATAATTTATTTATGATCAACGAGAATATGTGACAGAATTGTGAAACAAAAATCATGTTTTGTGAAAATGTGTTGACAGAAAATTTTTGAATAAACAAAAATTCACAACTCTTGCTTAATTTTTCCATTATTGAAAAATCATAAACTAATATGAATACTGAATAAGTCATCGCTTTCATTCCTTTCGTGAATAGGCATCTATGAAATCTGTGATTTTTCATCATTCACGTTTCGTTATTATAATAATTATATCAGGTATACGAATAGTGATTCCTAAGTATCAAATTATTATAACTAATCTGATCACTGAGTTCCATTTGATCATTTCTATTTCAATTTTGAAGAGACATTTCATTGCAATGTAGTCATCAGAATACATTTTCTTCAAATGAATTTGACAAGACTATTTTGGGAATTAGAAACCACTCTGAAGAGGACATGATTCAGTCTTCATAGAAACTGAATGTGCATCAAAAGATCAGTTTTCACAAGGATCATCGTCTATTCTAGAATAGATGATGAAACATTTATAACATTCATGTAGAACAATGAATTATATCCTCAACGGAACATTAGGTCTGTTTGAAATTGATGAAAATGATTTACCTTAACATATCAAAAAGTATTTTAATATACTGCAGGTTGAACATATCAGAACATGAAGAATCGGAAATAAATCTTCATTCTGAAACAACTTCGGTGTGAAAATTCATCACTCATGAAATTACTAATTGTATTTCTAAACAGTGTAAGTTTTTATGTTTTTCCGTCCGTCTGTGCCAAATCATTTTCCCATATTGTTTCTCGTCGACTGTCTGAATTGTTTCCCACTGTGTTACTTTATAATTTTTATATATGTCGTTTTGCATTGTATATAATCAGTGTCACTGCATTTTTTACTAGTAGAATAGTTAAGTCGTGATATTGTGTTAGAGTAATATGTTGAGGCTGATTATGTTTTAAGATATTAGAACGTTAGCATAAGTTGTTTCTACTCAACATGTCGGAAGTGTAATTCTCATTATGTAATAGTTCTATAACTTGCTCATATAATCATATAGCGGTAATTATTCATCCATAGATTAAATAAATATAAAACAACCGGAAATTGCGTCTCATTTATATATATTTCTGATATTTTTTACAGCAAAATCATCTGACCAGAAAACAATTCTATGATTGGAAATGAACATCTTATCCGCGAATATTTATTTTCATTTCATTTAAGTCCTGGAATGCTATGAAGAATTTCTGAACTCTTGTATTACCTAGTACAATGGTAAATGTTGAATCAAATATTGACAATTTGTCTATTATAGCACAATTTCATAATGGTGGGCACTGAATTCTCAGAAATATCATTGCATTGAAATGAAAACATTGTTGTCAAGGTTGTGAGTGTATATATTTTATAATTTTTTCCCCTCTGTTGAGTATAATTTCCGTATGCCACTGCAAGAGACATATTAAAGCAAAAAAGTCAGACATTACTGAGAAATCAGTGCGTACAATTTTGGAATTAAAGTATAGTAGTATAGTTCATTTCATACAAATACAATCTGTCGTCCTTCTTAGCTTTTGAACGGAAAAGATAGCAAAATCGGATAAATTTTACATTTTTGATAAAAATAAGACTATAGTGATGCATCACTTTTTGTAGAGAGGGCGGTATCCACTTTTTTAACCCAAAGGGAGTATTGTTGAAACCTGTTAAATTCTGATTATGTCATGATATTTTCAAACTGTGATTCTTAAATATACATTCTTGACATAACATACAATCATTATGAAAGAAGAAAAATACACGAATGAAGAAAAAAAACAGAAACAAACACTATGTTCCTCTCTATTACATATACATTTATACAGATCGATCGAGAAGTTATGGTTCACCTCATGTTTGAAGATGAAATCATCAAAATCATGAAACAACTAAATAGGTAGATTTCAATTTTGAAGAGACATTTCATTGCAATGTAGTCATCAGAATACATTTTCTTCAAATGAATTTGACAAGGCTATTTTGGGAATTAGAAACCACTCTGAAGAGGACATGATTCAGTCTTCATAGAAACTGAATGTGCATCAAAAGATCAGTTTTCACAAGGATCATTTCTTGGATTTATTCTAGTCCCTAGGTTGACTTTGAGCCAACATCTAGAAAGAGTAACGATGAAGTAGCACTAATGCTGGTAAGACCCACTAACGAAAAAAAAAACAAATATACGTAAAAGATATCATTTTCAGTAATTTTTGATAAAAAAGACTCACCCGTCGTCGAGAGGACGCTACCATTTTTTTTAATCAGAAACGGGGTCTTGTCATACCACGTTTGAAACGTATTTCAATTCTCTAGACAATACTATCATTTTTGAAAATCAGAATAGCTATTGCAGGAAGTTAATTCCATATAAACGCAGTTCTCTAGATGAAAAAAATCGTAAACAGTGAAGTTCGAGGTGTACTGAGTTGAACCTCAAAACTATGAGCAGCCACAGTCCGTCGCGTATATCTGATATGTACCGCTCTTGGTGAAATCGAATGTGCCAAGTCACTTGAACACCTTCCGTGAAAGTATCTATAGAAGAGAGACAAATCTAAAACCTTTCTTCGATGTTCCAGACTATCGCGTCCCCAATCAGGTGGATTGCTCTTTTCTGGATGGAATCCTGCAACTTCAGGGTATGTTTGGGGGCAGAGCTCCATACATGAGAACAATACTCCAAAGAAGGTCTGATCTGAGCTTTGTAAAGCATCAAAAGTTGCTGAGGTGTGTATAGTTTTCTGGTTCGGAACAGTGTTCTAAGCTTTTAACAAGCAGCCTTTGCAATTCCAGCGACATGATTGTGCCAAGACATATTGGTGCCCATTTCAACCCCCAACAAACTTATCAAAGCAGAAAGCGGAATTGTCTGACCGGTTTAGGGACATTTATCTTTTTGGAGAAAACTGATGGGTTTTTGTGGCATTGAATTGAACCTGGTTACTTTCACCCCAATTGGAAATCACTTGTAGATCCTCATTAAGATATGCAACCTCCTGCTGCCAGTGAAGATCCGCAGCCAATGTCCTGGAATCCAAATCTAATGACGAGACAAGTGTGCTGTCGTCAGCAAAGCAATATATTGGATTCTTGGTTTTTTCGAATAAGTCGTTGATATACAATGAAAAGAGGGCTGGAGACGATATGGATCCCTGTGGGAAACACCATCATTTATGGAGTAAGTATTCGAGAGATATCCATCGACGGTCACTTGCAGGGAACGTTCATTCAGAAAGAAGTTTGGCCAGCAAACTCTCATGCCACACACGGTCAAAGGCCATAGAAATATCAACCGCAAATGCTCAAGATTCTCCATATTTCTCGATTGCGTTACTCCAAATATGGGTGACATACGATAGAAGGTCGCCTGTTGATCTTTGTTTCCGAAAGCCATATTGATGATCGCTCAAGATGCTGAAGCCTTCCATATATTTGAGGATATGGTGGTTCACTGATAGCAAAGCGACCGGTCTATAGTTATTTGAAAGATGTCTATAGTTATTTGGAAGATGTTTCTGGCCCTTTTTAGGAATAGGCTGAATGCGAGCTATTTTCCAACAAGAAGAAAAAACCCCTTTCGTATAAGACAGGTTGAAAAGTCTGCAAAATACTGGTGCAAGTTCATTTGCGCACTTGTCACGTACGGTGATGGACACTTCATCAGGCCCAGACGCTTTGTAGACATAGAGTACTTATGATGCACTGTTTGGAACCTTTGGTGTAGTAATGAATATTACTGGAGTTTTTTCCCAACACCAAATCGTTATTTTTAACACCTCGACACGTGTTTCGATCACGAAGTGATCATCTTCAAAGAGGAAGATTTGAAATGTTTACCATTCACTTTCCGATAGTACCTAATAAGGTTTGTTTAAAAATTCATCTCTTACTTAATTGAATTTTTCTGGAGTGAATTCACCTCTTATTTCAACCATTCTAAGGAACTACGTTCGTCTATCCACCGGTTTGGATAATTTGAACATACCTGTCATAGCGTCAGCTGGAAAGTCACTGACGTTTGTCAATTATCCAAACCAGTAGATAGGTAGACATGTTTCCTTTGAAGAGACCACTAGATCACCTGATATGACGCCTCCAGATGTTTTGAAGAGATGCGTGACATCCGAAGTATACAATAAACAACAACATTCTTTTTGGAACCTGTGTAAAGAAAAAGAGGTGTTTGTGAAGAAATCATCCAAGGAATATATCATGATATATTCATGAAAATTTTCCTTAGAAATTCGAGTCAACAATTTATCACCGATAAGTCTCCTGTTTCTTTTATGATATACGTCGTCCTCGAATTTGAATTTATTCGTTTCAGAGGCATCGTTCCACCAGCAGCCCAGCTGTCTCCCGATCAACCATTCGGATCGATCAGGTCCCTGACGGTGGGTAGAGAGGTGGCCAGCTTTCCTCTATCTAGGACGCCTACACCGCCTCCAGTGAATTTCGAGAGGTGAGTAAACGTAAACATTCTTAATGAATGAAATGTATATTTAAATTGGAAAGAGATACCTTTCAAAATATTTTATCTCTACACATTTCTGCAAAATACAAAATTAAGTGAACTATATTCTGTGTCAGAATTGGTTCTTCATTGTATTAGTGCAATACATTTATTATTACACTCATATTTCATTCTACCTAAGCGATTTGTGACCATGATGATGTTCAACATTTTGTTAATGATTCTGTATTGTTTAGTGAAAATCTCACAATAAAGCTTGTCACCTACATGTCCGGCACAGCCACAGTATACTTATGTACAGTAGTCCCACTTAGCGTCGGTCCCTTTGATGTTGGTGTCCAGGAGTTTCAGTTTTTACACTGCTGACGTATTTGACACTAATGACATTTCTCCCTTACTATAATCTCAACCAAAGCGTCTAAACACTGCTCAACATAACAACTATTCATATAAACTGCTCAAAAAAATACAGTCGATGTTGGGCACCTGAGAAAATTGTGCGAATAATAATTTTGCATTTGTGTAATATTCAAGTAACCCAGATCATTTGGACAATAATGAACTATGTTTCAAGTAGATTTTAAAAATTCATAGGATCGGCAGATTTTCATATTCGGATGTGACAAAATATATTTTCATTTCAACAACAAAAAAAAACAAGATGAAGAACGAGTTTTGTTATTCATGAACCATGGTACGAATCCATGCGAAATTTCTTTGTAGTGATTTTTGGGGCCAAATATAGCATATTCATTCATTGATTTGAGAATTCAAGATGGCGGACGAGTTTGCCGATTCNAGTGACAGTTAAAAAAAGTGAATGAAACTATATTTCTCTAGGTAAATCTCAACCAGATCCAAACTTACCACACCCATTTCATTAGTATCCAAAAGAGCTTTGGATTCACCTCCTCTTTCTTATTACTATGCTATAATTGATCTCCCGATTCCCGTTCTCATTTGAGAGGTACGTTGCGATTCGGTTTCCCCTTCGCATTCCACTTTTATTTGGCTTTAAGTAACGGTCTCTACAAAATTCATGTTATTTTCTCTCCTTAGGCTATCACTCACCATTCACGCTATACGTATTGTCTTACACTTCCTTGAGAACTACTTTTCCATTCTCCTTCTTCGTCGTACGAGTCTTTTTATCCTCACTTATATTTTTTCTCTTTTTCCTACTTTGCCCTTCAAACCCTGCATCAGTCTTTCCATCCTCATCAGTCTTCATTTCAGTAGTATCATATTCTGTGGTATCAAACCCAGCAGAACCCATGATTACCGACCCAGTAGCTACGGATGGAGCGTGAACTTAGGTACTAGCTGGCACAGATTCAATTTCTCACCTACCTATTCATTTTCTTTGACCTGACTTATCTTTTTTCGTTTGCTGTCCATTCATACTAGCTATAGCCGTTTTCAAGTCATTCATCACACCCCACAACCTGTTTATCGGGTCCACTATGCTCTTTCTCAATATAATCGCAGTTTGCAAATCTTCACGTTCTTTCTCATATTCGCTTACCCTTCCAGTCTTTCTGCCATGACAAGTTCTCTCGTAGCCATATCCGTGATCATATTTCCCATTCCACCCGAAAAAATGATTTGTTGAAGACTGCAACTCACCGCACCCTTCTCTTCCCAGTCGGAACAGCTCGTGAAAATGTTCACTTCCTATATGTGGAAATTTCCTAAATTTCTCAGAGTATGCCTCAGTGTCCCTAAGCCCCTTTCCCTCCGTGCCTTTCTACTTTTCAGACATGATCTAGGTATCTCTCTGTACTGTGGCACCGCAGTCTGGCGTTCACCATTGGAAAAAATATTTTCACTTTTTCGAAGGAAAACCACAAGAGTTTGTTTTTTATGCATTCCACAAAATTACGCGCTCCTTGAAATGTTGACGACCAGCGTCAGAATTTTTCCAAACTTTGACGCCCGGTGGGACAGGCTCAAAGTATGTGCTCTGATACCAGGTAATGAAGTTTCTTGTGCAGAATAATCCACTTAATTGGTGTCAAACCATGGCACAATTTCTTCAATCTAGCGAGTACTTGATTAGTGGTCAGTCTACAACTACCATCGTAAGGTAAGTAAGAAACATTAGTTTGTGATTTGTGAAGTAAGCATTTCAGATAGATACCCTTTTATGGCTGCAGGATACCAACTTAAAAACATAATTTGATGGAAACTGCTACTCATCGCACTCTGCTCTAGTCGTTATATTGTGGATGGTGTCAACTATTTCACTAATCTTGCCAACTAGATATTGGGTGTCTAGGTCCATTTTATTTCGGCTTCCTCTTTGGTTATTCACCATTTCCTTTCCGTTCGCTTGTAATTCTGATTTCTTTTCCTCGAAAGGGTGGTTGACGACGGCTATGATCCCATGCTTAGACACCTGTACATCTCCTCTGTCGCCACCACCAGCCCCCAGTGGGAGTGGCCTTCTGACCATTCCCAGATGTAAAAATTTTCCAAATTTTTTATTGTATGTCTCAGTGTCCATCATTTTCTCTAACTTCATGTTTTTTTTACATGATGCATACATGATTCATGCATCCCCCTATACTTCAGCAACACTCACACCATGAAAATTCCACAAGAAAGACAAACTTACTCAATATCGTGTCATCGCCATCGACAGCTGTGATCATTAGTCTCCTTTTGCATTATTATTTTATTACGGACGATCAAATTCATTTCAATTATTATAATTATATAATTAGTTATNAAGAGATGGGATGAAATCAAAGGATGTAATCTTGCCAGGATCACCTTGGGCGACCCTGGGAAGCTGGCGCCGAAGAAATATCTGGCGATGACCAGGAAAAATCTACGCCTTACAGTAGGATTTCTGACTGGCCACTGTCAGCTAAGGAAACACCTACATAATATGGGGCTAGTGGACACACCTCTATGCAGGATGTGTGAACAGGAAGATGAGACTGTCAGGCATGTCCTGTGCGAGTGCCCCGAGTTATCGTCAATAAGAGAGTGTGTGTTCGGCGAGTCTTGGTCTACACCTGCCGATATAAAGGAGATGTCTCCCAGTGACCTGTCCGCCTTCCTGGAAAGGACAGGATGGACAATGACCTAGGAGGACAACTCCTCGGGAGGATATACAATGGGTCACGTGTGGCCTGAGTACTGTGGACTTACACTTACCCTCCTTACTCTACAGATACAGAGAGAGATATGTGCGTACTTTATCACCACCGACTTGTGCGTTTGGCCTAGTCTGCAGTTCCTTTCAATTTTTCGTTTTAGCAATTTTTTTTTTCGTAGCCCCCATTTAAAAAAATGGGTAAAAAAATAAAACTCCACTTAGATGGCCATGACTTCAAATCTAGATTTTTTTTTGATGCTGAACATTTCTTAATAACATTTCCAAAATTTTTCAAAGAGTACTTTAATCTTGTACGTATGTTTCACTGTCTTTTATTGGTGAATGCTTAGTTTCAGGAGATGCAGAAACTTTTATCAAGAATAACTTTTTGTCGAAAAACCCTTAATAAATAACTTTCCCATATGGTGCATACTTTGGGGATGACACTGTATAATCAAGTTGACATTGTGGAATTTTTTCATCATGTATCTCTTTCTGGAGACCAAAGAAGACCAAAAAGTTCATTTTTCCTTTGTCGCGAGGACATCATCTTTCTTCATGATACAACATACATATTCAAATTCTAAAGGTGATGATCATCAAGAAGCGAAGATAGATGTTTTGCAGATGACGCTATGAGAGAAAGATTTTTCGTTCAAATCTGCTTCGTTTTGCAAATTTTTCTCAACAAATCTGTCTTGAAGGCGAATATTACTGGAGTTCTATCCAAACTCCAAACCGTTATTTTTTACACCTCAACGCATGTCTCCATCATCTCTGTGAGGAGAATCAAACTTGATCTTCCTCTTGATCATCTCCAAGTGATCATCTTCAAAAGGAAAATCATATTTGATCTTGAAAATGATCACTTGGTGATTGAAACACGTGTCGAAGTGTCGAAAATAATGGTTTAATGTTGGGGTAGAACTAAACTAATATTGATTACTACACCAAAGGTTCCAAACAGTGCATCACATGTATTGAAAGTATTCAATTTGTTTCGTTTTCGTTGCCGCACACTGTATGTTCATTATATTGTTGCAGTCGATTTCATTTTCAGTCACTTTTGTAAATCATCCCCACAGACCGCTGATCTTTTTGAATGACAACACTTATTTTCACTAAAGAATTTTCGTTAGTTCGCATATGTTGAAAAATAATCGTTAGTGTAACTCACCGACCTGAAGATGTATTATTTCATCAGTTCGGACTTC